TACATAACCATGTGTCCCCTCTGTGGAAAGAGATTCTGAAAGTTTCAGGAAAAAAGATTCTCTCTCTTTTTGTCCTGATCCATTTCTATAAAAACCTGTCCGAAAATGAGTTGATCAGATTTTGGCCACTTTATGATGTCATAACGATTTTTTGGCTTGTGTAACCGTTAGCCAATCAGCAACCAACGGTAACCCCCCCCCCCTTATCACCTGAATCTCCTCCTAGAGCTCCATTGTGTAATTTTAACCACATATCTCTCAGAGGGGCGTGGGGAGGGGCTCCTTATTTTCATCTAAAGTAACAGAAAGAGTAGCAGCACTGGAGCACTGGAAACAGGGCTGAAACAGAGTGGATTATGGGTAATGCTGCAATGATCCGTTGGTGTTTGGAGCCAGTGGCGGACTGGCCATCGGGACGTTCGGGACGAATCCCGATGGGCCGACAATTTACTAGCGGTACCGAGGTGGGCCTGTCGAGAGTCCCGGGCTGATTTTTAGTCCCAGTCCGCCCCTGTTTGGAGCCAAACACTTCAGAGACATGTTTGTATATATCTGAGACCTATAATATATTGATGGAAAACAGTATAATAGGGGACCTTTAAATAAAACTAGGCGTCTAATCAGTGATCCTAAGAACCAGCATCCTTTGTCTTTCGTCCCACCTCACCTTCAGATCACGTGACCCTCCTGAGTAAAAAGCTTGTTGATTGGCTGCGTTATGCGAGCATCCTTCAGGGAGGCGGGGCTTCCTCTGGAGGATTCTTCACAGGGCCGAGGTCACGTCAGGTAAGCAAGCAAAGAGAGATAGTGCACTCAACTCTACGTCATTGTATTTACATTTTAATATAACAAAAATGGTATATTCTATGTATAAAGTATTATTCTATTCTTTATTAGGATCCCCATTAGCACTAGCATGAGCATTGGCTATTCTTCCTGGGGTCCTCACAACAAAACTAAACAGCTCATAATTTCATACAAATTAGAGTGCTATATGAAGTGAACACTAAGATGGTCATCTAATTTTAGCCGTCATAAGGCCAAACAAAAAAATACAAATAATTGTACATAATAATACATACACAACCAAAGACACAGTTCAATTTTACTTTCTAATACTGAGATGATTTTTTAGCAACCTTTTGAAATGTACTTGAGAATTCTCCTGAATGATATAAGTTCATATATTTTGTTTTAGAAGTGAGTTTATATTACAGTGTATTCAAACGTATCGTGTATTCTATGTGTTGTAGTCTGTACTATTGCTTACACTTGTATGCTTCTTCTCAATACAAATATTATATTGAGACACAAATATTGTGTGTTTGCTCTCAGCCGGTGCCGATAGCCGAGCTGGACGGCACGGTGTCGGGGGACTTCTTCACGGTGCTGTGTGTGGGGCAGAGCTTCACGGAGGACCAGTGGATGAACGTCTTCTCCTTCTCCGCGCTGCGCCACTGGCTGCTCACCTACCACTCGGTTTCTAACGGCAACGGCACAGCGGACACTGGTAGGACCTCCACAACAATCACAACATTCGCACTCTACAGATACTCATCGCTTCATGTCATTAAGTTACTTCAGTAGCTCACTTCATGTCCTTTAGAAAGCGTCCAAAAACATTTCCCAATGAAAGATAAGAAGTACCTTTCTAGGCAAACTACCACTTTTTGTAGAAAGCTCTATAAAACCAAAGTAAAGTCACACCGTTATTCCATAATTGGTGTTAAAATACGGAAAAGAGAGGGACTGAATTAAGTTTTTGAAAAGTGTTATTTCTCAACACTTTAATTACAAAAACATATGTTAATCACACACAATCTATATTGACTTTGATTAGTTCAGTTAACCAAAAATATGTATTCAAGAAAATAAAACCAGGCTGTTGTGGTCTTTAGTTCATCTTTAAAATTATTAAATAGGGTCATTTTTATGGGATCTAGTTATTTTTATTTATTTATTAATTTAATTTTTTAACGTATATATCATAAGGTTTGTAATGATTTAGCTGTAACATTTGAGGTTTTTGACTACAAACCAAAATAAATAAATGGGAGGACATTTATTTGCTATGCTTTCTGCCCTCCATCACACCATGACTATTTAAAAAAAATTGTTTTGATGATAATTAGAAAAAAAATACCCACTATATCTTAGTTGCAGTATCGGCCACATTTCTTTCAAACCCTGCAGCCCTAGAGGCAGCATCAGCCTCACATATCCAGCCTAAACATGTCCGCCTCAGATGACCTGCTCTGTTTCACCTCCAGCTCACAGGCTGCAGCTCAGCCTCTCCCTCTCCCACTCCCACTCCTTCTCTAATGGTAAGACATGTCCGTTGGTGGGCCTCCATGTGCATGCGCGTGCATCTCAGACGCTGTGAACAACTCTTCCTCACAGCTGCACTTTCAGCACTCTGAAATGATCCTGACTCACAGCTGATCTAACAAACCGACTCTCCAGGAATCCTAAATCTGTGACTTCTTAACGTCTCTCTCAC